GACCCTAGTCCTTTATACATTACACGATCACAATACAGGCAAATTTTTTTTCTTATTAATTAATTATTATGTATAAAACTACATGTTAACTTCGAGATTAAAGTTTTTAGTATTTCTTTAGTTCACTGGTGTAATTACCTAATCACAACGCCGGTATGTAAGTGTAATTAATTAATTAAAATCTTAATGCATAAGCAGTATATTAACAATTAATAGCAGTGCATTTTTTAGGACATATAATTTCCTTTCAAATCCATTTTGGAAACGCTAATATAACTAATACTTCTAAATTCAAAATTTAATCCAAGTATATAATTATTTTATATCGAAGGGTTCTAGAGTAATATACTACAGGATGTCTTATCCTGTACGTGTTTGTGTTAGGTAATTTAAACCGAATCTCAAGAAACCCCACAAATAGAAAGCAAAAAAAGAATACCACAAAATTGTTGCACATCTGCACAATTCCTTTGATGAAATGCCTCTTAGCAATATAATAGTAGGTATATTTTGTTATTATTGAAGAAGCGGTACTTGTGAGGCAAATATTCAAAAAATACTTGTAAAATCACAGAATATAAGTTATATGTATATGTTATAGCCTACGCAATTTTGTAAAACATGTATATGTACTATAATCAACTCTAAACTGTGCATATTAATTAATTGTTATAATTGATTCTCTACCCTTGCCGACTCCTATCCATTTCACTGAAACAAACAAAAAAAGATGTACTTACATACACTTTTTTTCGTCACATTTGGTGAACAAATAAAAGAAAACTTTTAGGATTCCTTTCCCACCAGTTAATAAAGCTACTGAGCGAGCATCCCTTCTGGGAGTGGAAGAATTTTTTCAGCTTCGTTTTTAAAAAACGTAGGAATTAATAGGTACTGATTGAGGATAAATATGTAAAACAGACAAAATTAATTTAGCTTACCAGGAACTTGCAAATATTCTTCGACTTTCTTCACGTATTTTTTTGCATTTTCGGGTAGATCTTCAATATTTCGAATGCCTTCTGTTGAAGCCTGCCACCCTGGCATCGTCAAGTATTTCACCTTATAATTAAAAGAAAAAAAAATTGACATGCCTCTTCTATAAATTACTTCTTGTACATGAGATATGGGTATTTTAATATTAAATAAATTAATTAGTTATAGAAAATTGAGGGCTTTACCTCGACTTCTGACAGATCAGAAACACTGGACGGAAAGTAGTCAATTTCTTGTCCCTTCAGTATGTACCCAACGCCCAATTTTATTTCGGGAAGAGTATCCAAAATGTCCAACTTTGTTATACAAATTGCGGAGTAGCCATTTACCATATTGGTGTACCGTAATAGGAACAAATCCAACCAACCACAACGTCGTTTGCGTTTCGTGGTCACACCGATTTCGTGGCCCCTTTCTTGAAGATTATCCCCAATGTCCTACGCAGAAAAAAAAAATAAATATTGTAACAAACTACTATAATCATCGTTTATTTACATTAGTTAATTCTGTTGGGAAAGGACCGTCTCCAACTCGAGTAGTATAAGCCTTTACCACACCGATTACCGTTGAAATTCTATGAGGGGGAATTCCCAGTCCAGTACAAACTCCTCCCACACTGCAATTCGAAGATGTTACGTATGGATAAGTACCTAAAACATATATTAAATTCAATCTTTCTAAATAGTTGTGCATTGTCTGAATAAGAATCAAATACAAAATTTAAATTTACCAAAATCTATGTCCAGCATAGCAGCATTCGCGCCTTCAACGAGTACAGTTTTTCCATCTTTTAAAGCTTTATCCAGAAAGGAAACGGTTTCATGCACAAGGGGTCTTATTTTTTCTGCATAATTTTTATAGCGTTTTAACTCAGCTTCTACGTCAACGGATAAAGTAGGAAACATCCGTTGATATGTCCCAACCAAGCCAGTGAATCTTTAAGTTTATTAAAAAAAAATTAAAATACAAAAATTACAATTACTTTTATATTCAGTTATTTTTTTGTGGAATAGTACAGTGTTATTCCCAAGTGTAATTGTGTAATCAAGTAAGTAGTTTAAATGTGATACTTTTATCACTTTCAGGAAAATTTCAAATTTACAGACATTCTATGTTTTACTGGTATGTTAAATAACATACATATCATGTTTATAAAACAACTAGTCGCTAATAACAGTAAATTTTATATACCAATTGTTAAAAACTCAATAATTTATTTAACGTCCTATTCAATTTTAGCCATTTATGTTGCTTATAATGTAAAGTAATGCAAAAAAGGCAAAAATTCTTAATTCGCTTGTTTTTAATCTAACACAGTAAATATAATATGATCTAAGGCAAATGTATTTTCATTTACTCCGTATTTTCTTTTGTTCTCATTGACTAAATATTTATTTTTATAGAGTACACGTAACCAAGTAAATTTAGCTTCATAAAACAAGTCCATCAAACATTTTAAATATAACTTTTAAACGCAATTCAATAATTTATTTAGTTACTTACAGAAAAGTTAGTGACAGATTTCTTAATAACAAAAAGTTAGGCAACTGAAGAATTCTGATAAAATTAGCAGAAAATAGAAATTCTTAAAACTTGGCTAACTGAGCTGGAAAAATATCAAATTTCAAAACCAAACCAAATGATCAGCTCATAATTGAGAACCTTTAAAAAACTTACATACTTTTCACTAAACTGCTGAAAATCTCCCAGCAAATCGCCAATTCGTATTCCATTTCTGGTAGCTTTGGAAGAATAAGTTGGCCCTATGCCCTTCTTGGTGGTACCTAATTTTTGACCTTTTTCACTCTTCTCAAGTTCTTGCAGACCATCAACTTGCTGATGAAAATCGAACACAAGATGTGCGCGGTCTGAGATAACAAGACGTTTCTCCCAATCCTTTAGGCCCTTTTTAACATTCTTTTCCAATTCGTCAAAAAGTCCAGGCAAGTGAATTACAACACCGTTACCTACCAAAAAAGTAAATTAACTATCTAGTATGTGACAAAATTTAATTTTTCTCATAACAATTACATCAAGGCTGCAATAAAGTCATCACTTAGTAGTACCCTTTTTTACAAATTATTTATGAATTTTATTTATATTTTATTAATAATACATTTGTGTAGTTTCTGAATAGTTTGGTATTAAATATTCAATTCAAATTTAAAAGTCATAGGGAAATATGATTACATGGAATATGATATGTACTAAAGTAAGCAAAAATTTTGAGAACTTCCGCAGGCGAGTAAATTTACAGTAGAAAAAAATTAATTCATTATAACTACACAGACTACAAAGTAAGCAATTTCCAAGTTAAGTAACCCATCAATATTAAATGTATTATGCAACATCTTTAAGACCTTTAGAATGATTTGAACTTGCGACATTAGAAAGCGTTCATGAAGAAAATCTAAACGTTTTAAGCCAGTAATAACGTAGCATAATAACCATTTTAAACAACTTTGCTAGTTTTATAGTACATGTACAGTCATTATGAGATAAATAAAACGCTAAAGCAAATTCACATATTAATTTGTTATCAATACACTGACCTACATGAGTGATTGAATAAAAATGTACAAATAATTTCACGAAATCCACAATAAAAATAAAACTTAGCGCATACAATTATAATGGCGTTGACTTCTGTACTTTGAACATGTACAATAATTAATAATTACGTATTTGTTAAGACTATTAAGAATGAACCTTCAATTAAATTTGGTATATACATAGTTTAATTCAATGACAACATCTGCAGTTCAACATTAAGTAATAGTTATTTTATCAATAAAAAAAACTTTGTTCAATTTATAAGTACATAGTAGGAATTTGCAGTAAATTAATACCGTTAAATATATTTAAAAAGATAAAATGTACAATAAATAAAATTATGCCATTTCATTTTTAAATTTATCTTTGCGTTATGTAAATAAATAATTTTTGTTTCTGTTTTCGTATAGGATATAATTCATATGAGAGAGTCTTATTAGTGAAATAATCTTTAATTACGTAGCCAATTCTGTATAATGGACACTTATAAAAAAAGGAACGCCCACGCACAGCTAAATTTTACTGCTAGCATCTTATGCTTGAACATAAACATACTTTGTAAGAACGTCTGACTTACATATGTTGTTTAAAATGAAAAAACAAAAACATTAGGTATCTATTTTTAAAACTAGCAAATATTTTTATGGAAATAAATACCTAGGATAATATCTAGGCAACCCAACGTACAAAGGGTTTTTATAAAAGTACAATCAACACTTAAATATATTGGGTGGGTTAATCTAAGTGCCATTTATTAGGGTTAACAAAAGTGTTAACGCATATTTGACTCCTTATACAGTGGCATTATTAAAATATAATTGGCCTATTTGTTTTGGAGAGACATGACAAAATTCAATTTTTAATATCTTCAATCATATTTAGGCAACCCAACGTACAAAGGGTTGTTTTAAGAATCTAATTAATACTTAAATATACCTGGTGGATCAATTTAAGCGTCACCCATTAGGTTGGGTGAGAATCCAGTTTTTGTAGTTTTACTAAGTAGCATTATCAAACTATATTGACCCTTTTTCGTTTTGGAGATAAAGGACATAGTTCAATTATTCAGATTTTTGATTCATACATCAAGAAGGTGAGAAAATTGAACTTTAAATAATATCTCAAAAGTAAAAATATTAATGTGGTTTGATAAGATTTCTCTTCAACGTAGTTTTCAGGCGACGACGCCTTATTTTGGTCTATCCTATATAATTTTTGTGATATTTAACAATCAACTAAATTATTCTTGTACATGTATTTAATTACCAATTAAATTTTGTACCTTTATCCAAGAGGTACAAGTAAAGATTCATAAATAGTTGTCTGTACTGACTGATGCCTGATACCAGCTTAATAGAACCAGTTCATATTTTTCGTTTATAGTATTGACTGAACATTAAATTAAAAGCAAAATAGGACATGAAAGGGCAATTATATGACATTGTTCAAAGTACAGATATACCTAATATCTTCAAGATTGCAAATTATAAAAAGTCCACACAATAAACAACAAAATTATTTTAGGATATAATGACATAATAATTCATATCTGATATATACTGGGTGGTGCTAGATAGCAGTTGCAAATAAATGTCATTAGGTTTAACAATATTTGAAGGGACCTTGGAATACAAAAGGCAAACTTGGCAAGCTTTTCTTACCAATGATCGAAGTACATTTAGGGTTTATTATTCCACTTGGTAAGAGATGANGAATTAGATATTTGACTTTTATTTGGTATATAATATTTGGCTTTGGAGTAGTAAAATTTATTTAAAAGGCAGTAAATTGGTGGACGGCACCTAAATTAAATAATATGATTTAAAGGACTAGATACTTAAAAAAAATCAAAATTGTAAAAATGTTTAAATACATAAATCTTAGTTTGTCTGTGTTACAAAATATATGTTATTTTTTATATCATGTGAATGAGAAAATTCAATTTATTGTATTTTTGTATCAATATTTTATTACACTTACCCATTGATATAAATGTGAAAAATATGCATGTGTACAAAAGCTATCTAAATGTGTGCCAAGTTCAATTCGTAAGCAAAATCACGAGTTTGAGATATAAACAGTTGTATGAGAATATTATGTAACAACCATAACATAAATAATAAGGTAAAAAAAGCATTTCATTAAAAAAAATTACCTGGCAACGACATACAATGTCAGCTTCTGTAGCCAACATATCTACAACTTTTCCTTTTCCTTCGTCACCCCATTGAGCCCCTAAAATCACTATCACTTTTGATTCGGGGGTGGAGCGTGATCTCTTCCTAGGGGAAGCTAAGGAGTCGCCGTTCATTCCGTTCAAGTGTTGTACGTTACTCATCATACCATTACTTGCCACTGACAACTAAACTGTAACACACTGCCTGACAAACTGTACTAGACTAAATACATAAACGTTCTACTAATCAAACTACTAATAATACTTAATACGCACAAAAACCAACTCTATAATTTAGATTTGGGAGGCAGCGCAGCACCTTAACCTCTCTTTCTAACCTGAAAATTTAACCTACAACTTCAGCTGTTAGTACTTAGCAACATTGCCAAATAACATAAAAAGTTAATAACTGCAATTTATATAAAATTACTGTAAATAACGTGAAAACAAAAATTATTCAAATTATATTGTTACAATTATTCATACTGTACTATATTAGTTACTGTTTATACGTTTTTACAGAAACTTTTCAGTAAAAATAACAAATATCATAGTTTAAAAATGAGAAAAAACACGTTTTTTTTAATAATTTGACTATATTAAAAAGAATATAATTTAATATAACGGCACTGTAGATAATTCTACTAAGCAGCCTTAAAATTTTTCATCTCAATCCTGATTAAAAGTGTAATGTAGTAATTAATCATTTTTTAAGTTAATATAATTACTGCAAACATTTCTTTTAATGGACAACGTTTTCTAAAACGTAAAATATTATATTCAATGCAGTTTGATTCTTTATTATGTGTAAATAGATAAATTGTTGTTGTTTATTAAAATAGCACTTAATTATTAAACTTGCACTTGGCAAGGATGCATGTAATTTCTGTGCTCTAAAATAGAGATTTAATAGTATACTATAAGGCGTTTTAGTTAAAAAGTTCTCTATATTACTTATTGGATATAAGGCTTTTTATATTACACACTTTGCAACGTTAAAGAGCCTATTAGAACTTCAGTTAAATTGTAAATGTATATTAATAGAAAAGAATGCTGACAGCAAATTCTTTTAATATATTGAACCAAGAAAAAAAGAACTTTCAGTAAATGATTTCATATTTAATGTACAACTAAACATCACACATTATTTTTGTACATTTTTTTCTTATAATATTTACAGATAATCAATAAATTGTTCCATCCAAACTAATTAGACCAGTAACGTAAGAACTACTATAATTAATATAAAGTACTATTAGTTCCCATCTTATTTTGTTTTCAATATTAATAAAATATCACTGATAAAATAGTTTCAGTACTTCCTCTCAATATTCTCTTTGCGTTATCACAATGGGAATTTTTAATGTTCTGAAAGGATAGTTGACCAGAATTTCATTCCTATTAACTAACTAATAAATATAATTCACGGTAATTCATTGGTGATGTTTTCTTTTTTTGGTTTCTTTGACATGATACTTCTAAATGCACTTCAAGCATGAAAAAAGTTCAATTAGAAATAAATAAATTGACTAGAATTAAGTGTTTTAACAATATAAATATACGTATAAAATAATTTTAGGGGCATATATACCTATTCTCTAGCAATATTTGACGAAACTGACTCCTCATCAAATAAATAATGAAATATAAGCTCCTAATAAGTAAATTAAAACATAAATAATAATGACTAAAGTATTTTTTTTTTACAATTTGGCTTCTGATATAAGATGAGTAAAACCATCTAACAACATAAAACGTTCCCTTATGATCTAATATTCATTAAAAATATCGGTAACTATTTTAATAAAAAGTTAAAACCATTTGTCATACCTGAATTAAGTAAAATGAAGACACATTACTAATGACCATTACTACTTTGAAGGCATTGTTTAAAAATATATTTGAAGTTATTGCAAACCAGTGTTGATTGTTACTTAAGTTACAAATAAATTTTTAAATAGTGCTATTAAAAATCTAAAAAGAATGTTAGGTCCCTTATATGATGTGAACAATATTTGGCGTGCTGAGGGGATAAAACCGACTCAAACGTGGGAAGAAGGGACGACGCACCAAAAGCGACGCTTCTTTCACTCAATCTCGTGACTCTTAATAATTACTAAATACAATTAATCATCTTTACTAGTAATCACCTGGTGTAAAACATCCTTTTCTGAGCATAAATTAACTAAAAATTGAAACAATTTCTAAAAGTAAATAGCTATAGATAACTCATATTTCAGTCTTTTCATGAATTAGATATTTGACTTTTATTTGGTATATAATATTTGGCTTTGGAGTAGTAAAATTTATTTAAAAGGCAGTAAATTGGTGGACGGCACCTAAATATAATTAATAGTGACATTGTTTACATTATATGGCCGCTAAAATTAAACGACTTTATTAGGAAAAGCCGCCCCTCTTATTATGTAGTCTGGGAATTCAACAAAATTATTATTTATTTTGAGAAGTACTTTTGAATATTATTTATTATTATAAATTAACTGTTTGGTATATGCATTAGGAAGTAGGAATTCAAAGCTTCAAATTCCCATGCTCTAATCTCAAGTAACAACCAATCATAAATAAGTTTCGCAATAATTAGTCTGAGTTAAAATCGATGTAGTTCGGCTTTAGTGTACATACTTCTTAAAACATTCTTAATTCAGGTTACTCAATTAATCAATCACATTACGTGCGTACGCAAGTATGATATAAATATTTACAATATAAATAAATGACCATTAAATTAATTTATTGTTCTACCGAATGGAAAAAGTTAATTGTACTTGGAGGTAACTATGGTTTCATCAAAAGCTCACTCACGCAAAATTAATTAGTTCGCAACCATTGGATGTTTGGTACGCATGTGTAATAGTAAAGTATCACTCCGAGTATAAACAGCTGGACAATGTAAGCATGAATACTGTCCAGGAAAGTGAACATAATAATGGTTTCTTGTATTACTAACGATTTTACCACACAGAACACAACGTCTTCTTTCGTCCATCGAACCAACACGTTCAAAAAGTTGAGAAACTTTGTAGCATTTCATATCTGAAACAAGTACAGTTTTATTAATAGTCATAATAACAGAAAAATGTGAAAAAATGACAAAATACCTGTCAGCTTTTTCTAAAATTAACTAATTTTCTATATTGTATTTATTTATTTAATAAGGCCTTATTTGCCTGAGTCTAAATTTTGAAGTTATTGGTTTTTTAAGAACCAAGTAATTTCTGAATGAAAATCATAAAAATGAAGATTTTAAACATGCAGTCTTACAGACATTTTTATACTGGATTCAAATCTTCCAAGAAAATAAAATTTTAATCAAATTTCCCAATATATTTTTGCTTTGGTAAGATATCATCCTTCACAAAATTTATAAACAACTTTAGAGAAGGACCCTAACTAAAATTATGAATACTTCCATAAATAAAACGCGGCGAAATATTATAACACACCATTTAATAATGATTATTGAAATACATAANTCTTCGTTTCGCCGATTCTGTATTTTCTTACTTCACTTACGAAAACTTCTTATCAATTTTAACATGACGATAGCAATAAACATGCAGACATATTAAACATGCAACAAGAACAAATATTCCTTATTTTGATTGTGTTTTTGAAAATGATGTACAAATACTTCTTTTCAATTTTGATAGAGAATTATTAAGAGTACACACGTACAACAGCAACCTTTACCTTGGGGCCAATTCAATTTTCTTTGAGGGTAACCTGTTGCTTTTACGATTTACTGAAGAGTTGAAACAGTTTAGCTCATTACTTAACACGAGCCGATTATTTATTGTTAGTAGCACTTGAAACAAAAAAAAATAAAAAACAAAAAGGATACAAAAACCACTCCTTCAACAGTATATTTCAAAAACAAAAAACACAATCCCAGAAAACTTTATTTTTTTATTATTTTACGACTTTTGACTTTTCTTCAGCGAATATTTAGAGTACTGATGCAGCTTCGTTTTCCTCTTTTTTGAAAAAGATATACGAATTTGCGCTTCCAATGACTGATGTGCACTAGTTCTTCGGTTGAACACAACTTGACTAATGTAATTATTTGACGACGAGTGGAAATATTTCTAGAATTTGAGCATGAGCAGTATCTACAAATGCAATTTGTACCTACCCCATGCGTGTGGATGCAATTTTCCATTCTAATTGCATTTATTTTGCCGACATGGAAACACCAATCGCAGGATGCGAATGTTTTCCATTTTCCATCATGCATTCATACACATATAACTTTACTAATTGTAAAACGTATGCATGGATTTGAACAATTCTATTCACTGTTTTTTTAACAAAAGAAACGTAAAAAATAAACAGGACAGTTACAGCGAAATAAAGCAAAAAAACAATATTAATAGACAATTGTAACATATATATATATATAAAATACAAACTTTCCGCAGTTTTTGTGTTTTATTTCAATTTAATGTTGAACGAAATTGCATAATACACTCTGTATATACAGGGATGTAGTTAGGACAGGTAAAAAAGTCAGGACGCAGTGAAAGCTGAAAAATTCCACGTCTATGTACATTTACATATTTCGAAATGTTTTCGTTAATTTCGTTTATAGTAGCTATCTAATGTTAATTTTTGATTCTTGAAAAATCTTTTATAGCTTTGATGTTGAAAAGAAGACATTCATGCTGGTACACGAACATTATTAGCAATTATTTATTAAGTAATTATAATAAGTTTTGGTGGAGGCGCCGGGACAATTTAAAATAAAACCTATAACTGAGCTACATTTCTGACTTCATTGAAGTAGATTGATGAATTATCATCTTATAATTATATTTTTAGGGATGCTAGTTTATATTTTTCTTTTTAAAGACAATTAAACTATAATTTGCAATATGATATATAGACAACCCAACATGGAAGATAATGCCGGAGAGTACCAATTTGTCATCGCACCCGAAAACCGTTGGCATCATGAGATTCTACGTACTTTTTTACGTAATTATCACTTCTCAAACTTTACTAAATACTTTCCATCTTCAAATAATTTCACGAGCGCTTTTTTATGAGGTATACATAATAAACAGATACACAATTACTTAAAAATTGCACCAAAACAATAAAGTCAAATGTACATTAATAAGATCATTACTCAATCAATTAATTAATAAATGCTATAAGAAAAAACGATTATTGCAAAAATTATAGCGAGAGCATCGGACGGTTGTAGAGACGAAGTGCATTTAGAAAATAATTAAATTTCGACGCATTTTGAAGACAAAACCCATTGTTTCTTTCTTCTTTCCTTTCTATTTTTTTCGTCTAAAAAGAAAAGGAAGAAGAGACCAATCGTTCTCTGACTTTGTAGCATCACAGACGTTAAAATTGTTTATAACTGTACACGTTCTCGTTTAGTTCGGATTTAACTAGACTTAACATTGCGTTGATAATAATTATGTATTACATACGCACAGCTTATGTAATATGTATTATATTTCGTATTGCACAGAAAAATCCTTAGAAATTCTTCATTATTTTACTTGAGGTTTTAACATAACATGAGCTCCTCGACCACACCCATAATTATATTACTCGTTATAAGTCAGATAGTGTTATAAAGTTTTGCACAATAACAAGAAGGCGTATTTACAAAACAATAACATAATTTGAAGAAAAACAAAATAAAAAAACGATCGTTTTGATTGATAAGGGCAAACAATGCATCGACAAAAAACTAAGTAATTATATGAGATTCATAAATAGAAATTTATTTTTCCCAATATTTTTTACTTCATGTAACACTTTTTTTTTTAGTAAACCCGTTTTAATTAGGTAACAAACTAATAAACAATTAGAAACTGTTTGCCCCATCCGTAATAACAACCGTTCTTAATTTGAGGGGGGGGGGCAAAAATTGCCGTCGTATAAAAAAGAAAATAATAATAATAATAAAAAGAATAGTATTTATGTATGTATAAAATTATGAGTACAGCGCCCTGCAATAAAAGTAATAAAAATAAAGCCAAGATCAGTCGACGGATGTATCGTTGAATACAGCAGGGGGTGGATCAAACTTGCGCGTGTCAGGATTAAAACGCGGGTGCTTAAATTTGCAGTGGGTGCGGAGATTGTCGCTCCTGGTGTACGTCGCTCGACACAGAGGGCACTCAAACCTGCCTGGGAAGTGCACGTGATAGTGATTGCGTATGTGCGTCACTATTTTACCGCACAATTTGCAGCGGTGCAGGTTGCAGCCACCTGGCAGTTTTTCAAATGTTAGCCGCATGTGCCAGGCTTTTGAACCTGCAAACCAAAAATTAACTTTAACGTAATGCAATATACATACGTTACAAGTTACTAATAAGGTAAGTAATAAGTAAGTGACAGCAGAATAGTGACAGTGCACCCCAGAGCAAGGTTATGACATTTAGTACCACAGCAAAATAGGAGAGAAAATAAAAATAAGTAAAGGTCAAGTAAAAAATGCAAGTTAAATAAAAGAATTGTTGTTACTCATATAAGAATAATATGTACACTATATACGCATATCTATACACTTTATATTGCCAAATACCAAAAAAAAAATAACATTCAAATTCCTAGCTATTCCTTTCTTCCAATTAAAGGGTGTTAAATTTTTAGAGTTATAGGAGGGTATTGGTACTATAGGAGGATGAACAAAATACTGAAAAAGTAGGAGAGGTTGTTAGTAAAGAAAAGGAGGACTAGAATGGTGGATCACCATCTGAAACATAGAGGGCTAGATAGATAGAAGCAAAAGTAGCAAGGGGTAGAAGAAAACCTAGATTAGATTACTGTCTGCAAATGGTTAGAATTAAATGTTCAAGTTTTGGGGAAATACCAAGATTGACTCAAACTAGGAAGGAGTAGGGGGATGTGTCCAACCAATGTTTGGACTGACAACCCTATGTTGATGAAATATCATGAGCCTTATTNTCGTATTGCACAGAAAAATCCTTAGAAATTCTTCATTATTTTACTTGAGGTTTTAACATAACATGAGCTCCTCGACCACACCCATAATTATATTACTCGTTATAAGTCAGATAGTGTTATAAAGTTTTGCACAATAACAAGAAGGCGTATTTACAAAACAATAACATAATTTGAAGAAAAACAAAATAAAAAAACGATCGTTTTGATTGATAAGGGCAAACAATGCATCGACAAAAAACTAAGTAATTATATGAGATTCATAAATAGAAATTTATTTTTCCCAATATTTTTTACTTCATGTAACACTTTTTTTTTTAGTAAACCCGTTTTAATTAGGTAACAAACTAATAAACAATTAGAAACTGTTTGCCCCATCCGTAATAACAACCGTTCTTAATTTGAGGGGGGGGGGCAAAAATTGCCGACGTACAAAAAAGAAAATAATAATAATAATAAAAAGAATAGTATTTATGTATGTATAAAATTATGAGTACAGCGCCCTGCAATAAAAGTAATAAAAATAAAGCCAAGATCAGTCGACGGATGTATCGTTGAATACAGCAGGGGGTGGATCAAACTTGCGCGTGTCAGGATTAAAACGCGGGTGCTTAAATTTGCAGTGGGTGCGGAGATTGTCGCTCCTGGTGTACGTCGCTCGACACAGAGGGCACTCAAACCTGCCTGGGAAGTGCACGTGATAGTGATTGCGTATGTGCGTCACTATTTTACCGCACAATTTGCAGCGGTGCAGGTTGCAGCCACCTGGCAGTTTTTCAAATGTTAGCCGCATGTGCCAGGCTTTTGAACCTGCAAACCAAAAATTAACTTTAACGTAATGCAATATACATACGTTACAAGTTACTAATAAGGTAAGTAATAAGTAAGTGACAGCAGAATAGTGACAGTGCACCCCAGAGCAAGGTTATGACATTTAGTACCACAGCAAAATAGGAGAGAAAATAAAAATAAGTAAAGGTCAAGTAAAAAATGCAAGTTAAATAAAAGAATTGTTGTTACTCATATAAGAATAATATGTACACTATATACGCATATCTATACACTTTATATTGCCAAATACCAAAAAAAAAATAACATTCAAATTCCTAGCTATTCCTTTCTTCCAATTAAAGGGTGTTAAATTTTTAGAGTTATAGGAGGGTATTGGTACTATAGGAGGATGAACAAAATACTGAAAAAGTAGGAGAGGTTGTTAGTAAAGAAAAGGAGGACTAGAATGGTGGATCACCATCTGAAACATAGAGGGCTAGATAGATAGAAGCAAAAGTAGCAAGGGGTAGAAGAAAACCTAGATTAGATTACTGTCTGCAAATGGTTAGAATTAAATGTTCAAGTTTTGGGGAAATACCAAGATTGACTCAAACTAGGAAGGAGTAGGGGGATGTGTCCAACCAATGTTTGGACTGACAACCCTATGTTGATGAAATATCATGAGCCTTATTTAATTATCTATCACCACACCTCTTTATACATATGTATATATCACTTCTTATATCACATTTATATCAAGCAACAGTTATTTCATAATTACGGCTAACTAACTGACAACGCCAATACTTAAATATAAATTTTCTTTACTGTCTTTCAAGTAATTTTTTAATTTAATTAATTAAAGCGTTTAGCTACACAATTGTTTTTAATTTTCTAAAAATATTGGTACTAAATGTCAAAAGTATATATGATTAAGCAATAAGATCACAAGGGGAAGCAAGTTACATGCATGGAAATTTGTTATTCTTATTTCTGTTTCAATAGACCTACACCAAAAAGTTTATTTTTAATATATCTACAGTTTTTAAACAATTATGTTGTTAGTTGATTAATTAAATTTCACTATATACCGATTCGGTATGCACTGAATTACTTAGTAAAAAATTAATTGAAGATTATTTTCCAGGCGTTTCAATTTTGCCATAACATTTGCTTTTAGTCACTATTGAAGATGCTGATCAAAAACAATGACAAAACCCAAAAGTTTAGACTAGAAACTTGGACAGTATATGTGAAGCGTTCAAAATAGATCAATCAGAGAGTTCAAGAAAAATCTTGAATCAGCAATATCATTAGTTTATTGGACATTGCACATTTGTATGTACAAAATTATAAACATTTATCAGTCTCTCACACACAAGATAAATTAAAAATACATAGTATCTCTTTCAAATCGAATATCACAACAAACGGGGTCATTTGGGAAGAAACTGGTATGTTTTAATCGGATATGGGCCTTCATATTGTCTTTTCTAGTAAATGTCTGTTGACAAACTGGGCACATATTCGACTGGGGTCGATGTTTGGCTGCGTGATGCCATCGATTTGTTACGTTTTTGCTACACATTTTACAACGATATAGTAAAGTTGATTCCGAAACTTTTTCAAAAATATCACAGTAATCTAGAGGGGCTGCCCGAGGTTCCTGTAAGTAGTAATAGGGCAGCTTCGACGAAAATTCAGTGTCTGGCTGATGGTAATAAGGTTGTGCTGCTTGTCTCTGTTCCTGCCAAGGAGCAGCTGGAACAGAGAAAGAAGCCAACCATCACCATTAACCAAAATTCGGAAGTCCCTTATTTAGAAATGCATGCACCAAAGCGTCATACGTTTAAATAACAGAAGTAACCCAACAGATATTTTTAATGCGTCCAAAAAAGTTTTTAATCTACACAACTATTTAAAAGGTAATAATGTCCAGAAAATAATTTTTCTCTGGATTTAAGAGCAATAGTAGTCCCCTACAGTTTATTAAGAAATATCAAAATAAATGTGTAAATCAAACATTACAGTCGTCGTTGTCGTTCATTTATAAGAAAAATGGACAAATCAATAGTATAATAAATTCAATACAAAAATTTTTATTGTACATATAGTTGAAACATACAGAAACATAATTATGTATTCATNAAAAATAAAACGATGTGAACAACACCTTAAAGTAGAGATACATAAATAAATTATCAGTGTAATCGTACTGCAACTGCACTATAAATTCTAAATAAAGTCACTTTAACTGAAGCACTCACTAAGCAATTTTTAGGTAATTATTAAACAAATTTTTACGTAAATTTGTCAGACCACTACAATATTAAAAATAAAATAGAAGTTTAAGTTTGTTATTCACTTCCCTGGCAATTTATCAACTTAAACTTTTATAATTACGTATTTTGGAACCAATTTTACTGGTTTATTACACCCACTCCTCACATCACTTCACAAAATAAAAAGATACCGCCACGCTTTAAACAACACTAAATTATTGAGATATTTTACTAATTAAACCATATTAAGATTTAACACCCTTTTTTGTTCATATAAAAAGTAATCAATCTTTTGTAATAAGCTCATTACCGTTTCTTCAATTATAATTGGTTTTAATAAAGAATATACAATAGAAAAGTTAGAACAAGTGAAGTAAAAGCGAGTTTAGAGACCTGCCAAAAATACCAGCTTAGAAGAAAAGTTTTACTTTCCCTCAGTATATTTCGAAGCGTTTTGTACATTACAATTATTATTATTAACAATTAATTAATTGATTAATGGAAGTATTGTCAAAAATACCATGCCAAAAAATAGTTAAATAAAACTTACCATCGATCGTATCTGTTAATTCTTGCGATGGTACTGTACTCTGAGATTCACCTTCGCTCAATTCTGATAAACTGGTGCCTCCTGCGTTTGTGTCGTCCGCATGCACACTCAAGCTACCGCCCTATAAATATTCAAATTATATTAAAACATAGAAAAGGTAAAAACTACAAATTAAAATAAAATGGATAATGAACATTAAAATTAATAGCGTAGTTATGCAACCAGTTGAAGCAGAGCGATGTGCGGGTAGCAGGAAACTGATGCAAAATTTATATGTACTTCCCCTCACCCTAGCAGTTTCACAAATCAAGTTTCTATTACGAGAACCTGATCAAAAATCTAAAGAAAAAACAATAACGACGTATCAAAATAATATTAATTGCAGATCGTACATATAAAGTAAAGAAACGGTTTTTAAAGCTTGAAACGTTTTATAAAGTACATTTTATGAAAGACTTTAATTGCTTAGTCTGCATATTCATTGTGTTCTCTTACACAAAAGTTATATGTAATTAATTTTTTCAAATCATAATAGCTTCTTATCAATCTATGATACTTAGGAAACGTACAAAAAGTTCTAAAAATACGAAAAACTGTTTAATTAACTAACAAACGCTGTTCGTTGCACGAAACTAATTTTGTATTGCATGTTGAACAAGTGCAAATCAATCAGTGACATCAATTAGTTGCCTATTGTTCTAATAAATACTGAATACTACCATATTATTATCTTGTGTCTCGTTGATATTCAATAATCTTATCGACCGTGATATACATCAGATTATGAACATTTATTCATAATTCAAACAGAACACAGAAATAATCTATCAATTGCCCTAATTAATGATTAATAAATAATATTATTAAAACAAATCTCAAAAATCAATTTACAAATAATCAGTTATATATAAATCTTACTGTAAAAATATTGTAACTGAACATAAGATAATAAAACTCAAAATTCCACTTAAAAACTTTAAAGAAATCTGAAATGCGTTTTGACACCCAAGGTGTCGTCCCCAGTTAAATACTAAATCCGTCTCGAAGGACCAAACTACTTATGCACGATTTAATATCAAAAAGCGTTTTTATGTTTTAATGTATATAATGTAGATCAGCAAAATGGAATTTAAAAACTTACTGTTTGTAATGCTTCTGACATTGAATGATACGAGTCAATGTGCGAGTTACCATCTTGTGGGGGTTCTTGTTTGATATGTGGAGGAGTCGTCTGTCTATCATCAATATTCAGGTCCCTTTCAACAGGTGAAATTGGATTTAACTTTGGTAGGGTTGGACTTCCTTTATAGTTGTTTTGAAATGATGCCTACATTAAACAAAAACAGATATATTGTTATAATTTGAAGTTAAACTTTAAAATTATATCAAGGAGAAATGTGTACTAAAGAAGGTACTGGAGCTAGCAAAAATTGTGATAATTATTCCAAATTTAAAAAATTAAAAATAATGAAAAAACTAAAATGCCTAGCCTGTTAAATTTTCATTAACTTTAGGTTTATAGTAAAAGAAAAATTAATTCTACCAGTATTAAACATGTAAATTTTGTTATTGTAAGAAGAGTTGAATATTCATTTTTGAATAATTTCAAATATAATACTAGACATTCTATAATATTTGACAAAATAACTTTAAATGGTAAAGTAAATAAAAGTTATTTAATAATTACTAAAAATTAGTTTACATACACATAGCCAATTTTCTTCGAAAACTTGTAATTACCATAAAATTATTTAAAAGGATCATGTTCATAGTTAATAATAAATGTATATTACCTGAGAATCAGTAAATCGTTCAACATTTGAATTAGATATTGTATCACAGTTGCTTAAGGATTTTCGTTTCCTCTTTTCATTTGGTGGAGATTCCCTACCAGCAAGCTTTTCCCTTTTTGGCACTTCAGTGGCAATATCATCACCCTTATTGTTAAGAGAATTATTATCAGTCAAACCCCTTATTTGTAAGGCTTCGGCTGTCTTTAGGAACATTGGCAGTAAGTTTTGGGAAACATTGACTTCACCTTTATACATAAAATCGAGGAGTGCCCTCATTTCGTTGTAATTGACATCCTTTAAAAACACTATAGGGTGGGGATGTGCATTTTGAAGGAATATTTTTTCAAAATATGGACTACATGCAGATAAAATTGTCTGATGAGCTTTGAAAGTTTCTCCATCACATGCTAAAGTCACATCACATAATGCTTCCCTTTTTAATAAACTTATAAGCACATCAGTTAAATTTGTTGGATGATTGTTCCATCGAAGACAAAACTGTTGATCCATTATTGTAAGTAGTTTAAAACCTAGATAAAAAATTATTGTTATTTTCCACTATTAATAAATCTATGTTTATATTAAATTTATCACAAAATAATACAAATAACTGGAAGCAATATGAAAACAGTTTACCTATAGCACAGATGTTAGTAAAATAGTCATTTGACCTGCAACTGTATTAAATTAGAAACAACAGTTATCCATTAAAGTTAGCAATAACATTCAAAACATGAATTGCGTTGGCCGTAATAAAACTACTAAAAACGATATTTATAACTTAAAAAACCTGTTCAAAAATTAAACATACAATTATCTTCTGCTCTACATAAAAATTATTTGGGAAATAGGTAAATAGGGGGTTAAAGTAACCAAGGTGCTGCAAAACGTAACCCCACTATGTGCAAACCTATTTTCTCTTATTAATTTCTATATAAATAAAAAAGAATTACCTTTAAAAACACTTGTTTAAAACTATTGATAACATAAGTATAAATCTAAATAGACAAATTCGTCATCATTTACCGCCATTGCAAATTTTAGGACATTTATTTCTTTTCTAATGGCGATTAATTTGATTAATGTTAGTACACTTAATTAAAATTCCTTGTACCGACGTATTAATTCTACACATTACAATTACCTTTATGGTGATAATTTTATACGCCAATATACCTAATTTACTTACCGTTCGCCAAGTTTTTGCCATCACAACGCCACCCAATTTTTAACTTCTTTAGACTGCCATGCCTGTCAAATTTTAGTTCTTTTATAAACAATTTAGAATTATTCACAATATATCTTTTTCAGGCGCATCACTTGCTACTTTATAAAATGAGCTTAAAAAATAATAAAATTGCAAACTGACTGCTTATTGTTCAATGATTTATAATTTTATAAATTTTTTAAATAGAGAGATTTATATCACGCATCTACACACATACAGAGTTTGTTATACATATGTTCCAAACACATGCATATTTTATTTGTATGTGTATATAATTACATTAGCAGTAGTAATAAGTACAGCTACTGCTAGCTGTTATTTTCCTAGTTTTAGTACCCAACCAAAAGCCAAAAGATCCACCAATTTACCTTATGGCGTTAATGCTGCTAATCTGTTACCTATTTTATTCCTAGCAATCTGCCAACTGTTGTCTAACATTTTTCACAAGTTTATTTAAAGTTGTACCATTTCTTGTTTTATTAACCCAATTTTGAATTCTTTTCTTTTATGTACTTTTATAATTAGTCTAATTAATTTATACGAAAGTTTCGGAGAATAGATTTTATTATTTTACTTTACAAAAAATTGTTAAAGTTGGGTACAATTTAAAAAACGAATAAAAGTAATCTCTTTTGCATAAAAGCATTTCTTGTGCTGTTCCCTGTAACTATACCGTGTTATTTTAATAATTTTAGATAATTAATTTAAATTTCAAAACTAATTTATAATTTAATTGTGTACCAATACCGTTGAACTATCCATAGAAATTTTGAAACGATGAAGTATAATAGAAACCGAAAACATTGTAGATATCTTACAGCTATGAGTAAAATTATAAAACAATACATGTTTAGGGGCTTTAGGAGCAATTAGGCAACTAAACCCTTACAAATTTTATTGTATATTAAATTTCTGTATAAAATACCGCATTTACATTATTGTATGTACAATGTACATAATATATACGTGTTGCACTTTTGTTAGACTTCACTCATCACTGTTCTTCTAATATATCTTCACGTGATGAATTCTTAAACACTTTGATATTCCAGTGTAAAAAACAAATATAAAAACAAAGCAAAAACAAGAAAAGCACATTTTACACAATATACATCGGTTATTTTACATTACAGGAACAAATCGATATCAAAAAGATTGTGCCACCTTCAGACAAGATTATTTCTTTTCATTCAGAAAAAAAATTCACTAGTAATTATTTTAAATTATACCTTCAACTTGTTATTGATCTAATGAAGTCGCTTGTCTACATGCATTAAATACAATTAACTTTGTAAATTCCTCATTTTCCACGTAATAATAAAGCTGTTACATACATAGCACTTAGGTAACAAGTGCATAGTTTATTATCTAAAGTTCGCAAATCGTTGGCATCATGAGATTCTACGTACTTTTTAACGTAATTATCACTTCTCAAACTTTACTAAATACGTTCCATCTTCAAATAATTTCACGAGCGCTTTTTTATGTATAATTGTTTTGTATATTTCTTGAAGATAATGCCGGAGAGTACCAATTTGTCATCGCACCCGAAAACTGTTGACATCATGAGATTCTACGTACTTTTTTACCTAATTATTACATCTCAAACTTTACCAAATACTTTCCATCTTCAAGCAATATCACGAGCGCTTTTTTATGTATAATTGTCGGAAACTACTTTTGATACCGCACTGGAAAATTGTTGACACCGTGAGATTTTACGTACTGACTTTATACTGTAATTATTACTTATCAAACCATGAGTTAATTAATATCAAAAGACATCATTTAGTATTCAACAGTTCATTGACATCTTCAAAATCGTTTGTCTGGAAAAGTATTTAACGTGTTAATCAGAGAGAAGCCATATTGATTCATATTTCATGTAACAAGAATAATTCGTGTTTAATCCCACATAAACCTATTAAAACGTAATCCTGCAATTCCTACACCGGACGTGATATTGTCACTATTATGATAAGTTGTATATTTTGTGATCAACAATATTTTTTATTTTAATTATTAAAGATAATTCTTTCATTTTACTTTATATTTGGGTATTCTTTGTTCATAAAAAGAAATCATCTTAGGTGCTGTACAGGGGTGGCTGTTGTGTCAATTTTTCAGAGTAGTTTTTGTGCTTTACTAGACGTTTATGAATGTGCTCGTTTGCGATACATCGAGAAATTGAAAAAACTGTATAATGACTAATCATTAATCATCAAGCAGTTCGTGATTACTTTTTGTGGTTTAAAAATGTATCAGACAATAATGATAAAGTATTAAGTGAATTCGTTTTTCTGATCAAATTCAGAAAACTTTAGTAAAATGTGCCTCCTTGTTATTATAATGTACTTAATAAAAATACCTTTTTAAAAAGGTGACAATAATATCTAATTTATTTAACAGCTAGAAGAAAATAAAATAAACTATTTCGTAAGGTTCGCAGTGCAAGTTGTTCTTGAATTAAATTTTTCGTAAATGATGATAAACTCACAATTAGTTCTTTCTTCGTTTCGCCGATTCTGTATTTTCTTACTTCACTTACGAAAACTTCTTATCAATTTTAACATGACGATAGCAATAAACATGCAGACATATTAAACATGCAACAAGAACAAATATTCCTTATTTTGATTGTGTTTTTGAAAATGATGTACAAATACTTCTTTTCAATTTTGATAGAGAATTATTAAGAGTACACACGTACAACAGCAACCTTTACCTTGGGGCCAATTCAATTTTCTTTGAGGGTAACCTGTTGCTTTTACGATTTACTGAAGAGTTGAAACAGTTTAGCTCATTACTTAACACGAGCCGATTATTTATTGTTAGTAGCACTTGAAACAAAAAAAAATAAAAAACAAAAAGGATACAAAAACCACTCCTTCAACAGTATATTTCAAAAACAAAAAACACAATCCCAGAAAACTTTATTTTTTTATTATTTTACGACTTTTGACTTTTCTTCAGCGAATATTTAGAGTACTGATGCAGCTTCGTTTTCCTCTTTTTTGAAAAAGATATACGAATTTGCGCTTCCAATGACTGATGTGCACTAGTTCTTCGGTTGAACACAACTTGACTAATGTAATTATTTGACGACGAGTGGAAATATTTCTAGAATTTGAGCATGAGCAGTATCTACAAATGCAATTTGTACCTACCCCATGCGTGTGGATGCAATTTTCCATTCTAATTGCATTTATTTTGCCGACATGGAAACACCAATCGCAGGATGCGAATGTTTTCCATTTTCCATCATGCATTCATACACATATAACTTTACTAATTGTAAAACGTATGCATGGATTTGAACAATTCTATTCACTGTTTTTTTAACAAAAGAAACGTAAAAAATAAACAGGACAGTTACAGCGAAATAAAGCAAAAAAACAATATTAATAGACAATTGTAACATATATATATATATAAAATACAAACTTTCCGCAGTTTTTGTGTTTTATTTCAATTTAATGTTGAACGAAATTGCATAATACACTCTGTATATACAGGGATGTAGTTAGGACAGGTAAAAAAGTCAGGACGCAGTGAAAGCTGAAAAATTCCACGTCTATGTACATTTACATATTTCGAAATGTTTTCGTTAATTTCGTTTATAGTAGCTATCTAATGTTAATTTTTGATTCTTGAAAAATCTTTTATAGCTTTGATGCTGAAAAGAAGACATTCATGCTGGTACACGAACATTATTAGCAATTATTTATTAAGTAATTATAATAAGTTTTGGTGGAGGCGCCGGGACAATTTAAAATAAAACCTATAACTGAGCTACATTTCTGACTTCATTGAAGTAGATTGATGAATTATCATCTTATAATTATATTTTTAGGGATGCTAGTTTATATTTTTCTTTTTAAAGACAATTAAACTATAATTTGCAATATGATATATAGACAACCCAACATGGAAGATAATGCCGGAGAGTACCAATTTGTCATCGCACCCGAAAACCGTTGGCATCATGAGATTCTACGTACTTTTTTACGTAATTATCACTTCTCAAACTTTACTAAATACGTTCCATCTTCAAATAATTTCACGAGCGCTTTTTTATGTATAATTGTTTTGTATATTTCATGAAGATAATGCCGGAGAGTACCAATTTGTCATCGCTCCCGAAAACCGTTGGCATCATGAGATTCTACGTACTTTTTTACGTAATTATCACTTCTCAAACTTTACTAAATACTTTCCATCTTCAAATAATTTCACGAGCGCTTTTTTATGTATAATTGTTTTGTATATTTCTTGAAGATAATGCCGGAGAGTACCAATTTGTCATCGCAC